CTTTCGCTTCATTCCTCCTCCTCCTCCGCCCCCTCCTCCTCCTCCGCCCCCCCTTCCTCTGTCTTCACTCCCAGAATCTGAATCAACCTCACTTCCTGTGTGTGCTTTCCGAGGAACCGGGGCGTCCTCCTCATCGTCCTCCTCGTCGCTTCCTCCTCCTGCATTTTCAGCCTCGCTGTCAGATGAGCTAGCTGGCTGCAGACAAAACACAATAAAATACAATAATAAAAAATAGGCAAAAAGGGGAGAAGCAGCAAAGATCCTGGTGAAGAACAGTAGCTGCTTTGGTAAAGGTCACACAGGCCAGTCTCTCCAAGTCTGAACAAGGAATTTTCCATGAAAAGGAAAAGTGGATTCATTTGAATCAAACCAGTCGCTACCAAGTACATCCTGCAGATTCTAAATCTATGATCACAAAAATCACCCAAATGAGGGTTATGAAAAAACAAATTCGCTTCCAGTATCTTTTACATTTCATGCTGAATTATGCGTGCTTCAGGATTTTGGGAAGATGACGGAGACTTACTACAGGTGGGGCGCTGTAGGAGGCATGTGGATTGTTCTGGATCTCCCATAAGCCTTCATTGAATCCCTTCCTTTTGTTGGGTTTCCCATATCGTTCTCTGTACTTTTCATAGGCAAAAAGGTCCTTTGGTGCGAGGAATGCTCTTTGAAAACAGAGATAATAAAGAAAACGTGAAGCAAACTGACGGGAAACGATTTGATGTCCCGGGCTTTCAGTAATGAACAGGATGTTTATACTTGTGTTTAGGAAGGCTGGTGTTCGGACTCCAGACTTTGAAGCAGATCACTGTGCCACCTAGTGACAGATTAAAATACTGCAGGTGCCATCTTGTCAAACAGATGGTGTGTCTCACCAGTTCAAATATGTCAACACATCTTGTGGAAACATACTGCGCACTAAGACTGACTCAAATTAACAGTAGTTTCACATCAAAGTAGTTATATGTGCCAACGTCGCTCTACCAAAGAGGATTTATAAAAAAAACAGGTGAGCCAGAGCCTAAATTCAAAAGTGGAACTACCAAATTTAACCAGAAAAAGTAAACATGGCTGATGAATGTCAGCCAATGTGCAGGTTTACAACACCTGCATCCACCCAAGATTAAACAGTTCTGCAAATACACTTAACTCTAGTCTCTGTGTACTTACGTTTCATGTGTCCCAAAGAAGAAAATGGGGATTTTATTAGGAGGTGGTTTCACTGCTCCATCAGCCACATCTTCAATCTGTTTAAAAAAAAAAAAATCATAATTTTTAAAAGCATGATTTTCAATGAAGAGAGCAAACAGATGACATGTCACACATTCACTGCAGACACAGGACTGAACACACAACTGTGGCTCGGAAAGTTGTTTCTGCTCATCAGAATCCCGGTAAATGTGCCACTTCAACGGTCAGCCCCTTGGCCATTTGTGCAATTAGCAGTTAAAACAACAACAAACGCAACCTGATAGTCGTTTTATCCATTTTAATGCGCAGGGAAATGTGTTTTACAATATCAGCAAGTTTTTAAAAAGAGGAGGGGGGAAAAAATCCACATTTTTTTTAAACGTCATCTCCATAAAAACAACGTTAGCTGGGGTGGTGAACGTCTCCGTGTAGGTTAGGCCACGAGCATCTCATGCAAATTTTGCCGCTCATACGCTGACAGTGGGCCTGTGCACACCTGCAGCCTGTCAGCCCTGCAGAGGTAAGCCTACGCTTTCTGTTTGTCTGTATCCATAAACGTAGTGGAGAACATCTACAGAGAACCTTCTACAGCGTCCCGTGCAGAGCAGCCCACCCCCTCCTCCGCCTCTCAGACTGCTGCTGCTGTTAACGTTGCTTGCTTACCCTGGCTGGCCAATGGGGGTATCCCTTCATCTTAGCAAAGACGAGGTCTCCGGGCTGGAAGTTGTGTGGCATTGTCCTTCTCTTCTGCACAGCCTGGGTTTAAAACGGTTTAAGATACGCAGTCTTTCTGTGTCTCTCTTGGTTTGATGTTTTCAGGTCGACACGAAACCTGGAAACGGTGGTGTTAGCTACCAAGCTAACAGTATACTAACGTTACCGCGAGAAGCTGCGTGAAGCCAGACGCTACGTACTAACGGTTTCCGTTCCAGGGTGCCAAGTTAGACTTCAAAAGAAAAGACTTTAAAAAAACGACTCAATTAAACAGTAAACTATCTTTTCCTTCATATAAAAATTTTTTTGGCCGCGATTAAACAAATTCTAGTTTTCCACCAAAGAAAAATCACGAAAATATTTTTTAAGAGTGTAGCTTAAATTTACACGAACTAAATACATATATGCAAAATTATATAGTTCAGTTCCACATGTTTACATACTCAGACATACTATAGACATATACTTGTGACTATGTTATTTGCACATTTCATGGTCTGTAAACGTGCAATATCCTTGAATACATACATGCATTTACATACATTTACATACATATGTGGGGAAGTATGTATCGCTCCATTTTCTTCTGCTTATCCAATCTCCCAGCTGTCATAGGAAGTAAGGCATGGTACATCCTGGACAGATAGACACAGAAAACTATTTACGCACACATTCAGTGTTCAGTTTAGATGCACCTCTTTGGACTGTCGAGCAAAGCCAGTGTACCAGGATAGAACATGCAAACTCAACACAGGAAAGCCCCAGATGTGTGAAATGATTTGAACTTGGGAACTTTCTGCTGTGAGATTATAGTACTAAACACTGCATCACTATTTAAACCTGTGAATATGTGTATGTGTATACATGTCAGTATATTTGGCTGTTACTGATATTTTGTGCACCATGTAAGGGTGGTGTAGCTGCATTTTCGTTATGCTTGTATAATGACAATAAAGAGTCTTTATAATTTGTGCTTTTCAAATAGTAAAACACAGAAAGGCAAAGTAAGACAGACATTCTTAAAAGTAAAAATATAAGCACATCAATCCCAACAAGCTTCACACATACCCAATATCACTTATTTCACAACAAAATGTATTTAAAAGTCGTCTTCAGGTTTGATTAAGCGCTCAATTTTAAATGACTGAATTATTTAAATTCTTGACTTTTATTCTTTTAAGTCAAACAGACTTCCTTGTCGCACCGGAAATAGAGTTGTGGGACGGTTGGAAAGCTTCATTATTCCGGATGAAGCTGTCTCTTCGTTTTCTCGTGATACGACAGCCACAGCGGAAATCCCGCCTTTCTTGCCTCGCGATTGGCTGACCGCCGATCAGTTTCCTGATCACCCAATGACATATTACAATGTGGAAAGCAACGTTGACCTCCCCCCGAAATCACCTCTAGTGAGAAGCCATGTTTCGGTCTTTAGGACGCGTTCAGCAGTTTAACTGCAACTTCCTGACTCTGCAGAGGCTCAGCGCTACCTCTAAACTCCGCATCTGCACGTCCAGAATGGCCAGCTCGGACTACAGGATTGAACGGGACACGTTTGGGGAGCTCAAGGTCCCGGCCGACAAATACTACGGGGCCCAAACTGTCAGATCGACCATGAACTTCAAGATAGGGGGACCAAGTGAGAGAATGCCCATCCAAGTGATCAAGGCCTTTGGTGTCCTGAAGAAAGCAGCTGCTCAGGTGAACAAGGAGTACGGTCTGGATCCAAAAATAGCTGAGGCAATCGTCCAGGCTGCAGATGAGGTTTCAGCCGGTAAGCTCGATGATCATTTCCCTCTGGTGGTATGGCAGACTGGCTCTGGAACTCAGACTAACATGAATGTCAATGAGGTGATCAGCAACAGGGCTATTGAGATCCTGGGAGGGAAACTGGGCTCCAAGGATCCAGTTCACCCCAATGACCATGTCAACAAGAGTCAGAGCTCCAATGACACCTTCCCCACGGCCATGCACATTGCAGTAGCCACTGAGGTCCACCAGGTCCTGCTGCCTGGCCTGCAGACTCTGCATGATGCACTTGCTTCAAAGGCTGAAGAGTTCAAGGACATCATCAAAATTGGGCGCACACACACTCAGGACGCTGTGCCGCTCTCGCTGGGCCAGGAGTTCAGCGGTTACGTCCAGCAGGTGAAATACAGCATTGAGAGGGTGAAGGCAGCCATGCCCAGGGTGTATGAGCTGGCAGCTGGAGGCACGGCTGTAGGAACGGGACTCAACACCCGCATTGGGTTTGCTGAGAAGGTAGCCTCCACCGTTGCTTCTCTCACAGGCCTGCCGTTTGTAACCGCTCCCAACAAATTTGAAGCCCTGGCAGCTCACGACGCCCTGGTAGAGCTGAGCGGGGCTCTCAACACTGTGGCCGTCAGCATGATGAAGATCGCCAATGACGTCCGCTTCTTGGGGTCAGGACCTCGCTCAGGCCTTGGAGAGCTCATCCTACCAGAGAATGAGCCAGGAAGTAGCATCATGCCGGGCAAGGTGAACCCAACCCAGTGTGAGGCCATGACCATGGTGGCAGCCCAGGTGATGGGGAACCACGTGGCCGTCACCGTCGGAGGCAGCAACGGACACTTTGAGCTCAACGTCTTCAAGCCGATGATGGTGAAGAATGTGCTGAACTCCGCACAGCTGCTCGGCGACGCCTCCGTCTCCTTCACCAACAACTGCGTGGTGGGCATCCAGGCCAACACGGAGAGGATCAACAAGCTCATGAACGAGTCCCTCATGCTGGTCACAGCGCTTAACCCACACATCGGGTACGACAAGGCGGCCACCATCGCTAAAACGGCTCACAAGAAAGGCTCGACCCTGAAGGCTGTGGCCGTGGAGCTGGGCTATCTGACCGAAGAGCAGTTCGACCAGTGGGTGAAGCCCTGTGACATGCTGGGACCAAAGTAAACTGACAACCCAAGGAAAAAAAAACAAACTCTTTTTACACAAAAGAAAAGAGTATTTAAGTAAATCAGATGTGGAACTGAGTAAGCATTTTTTTTGGATCCTGAACTTTTCATCTCTCAACAAAAAATCTGGGATACTGTTGTATAACGCAACTTGCGTAATATCTGGCATACTGGTAGAGTTCAAAGTGCACTGTGTCATGGTCCTTTGGTGTGGAAACTAGAGCTGCATCATGAAACAGCTGATGCAGCTCTACACACCTTTTATCTTTGTGTCTTAACAGGGAATGTTTTAAGAATTAGCAGCAGTAAAGCTTCGTCATCAATATGACTTAATTTTGTACATGTAAACATGTAAAGTCCTTTTTTTTCCTTCCAGAGTCAGAATACTTTTAACTCCTCCTCAGCTTGTAGTCGATATCATCGCAGCTCGGAGTGCCATTGTGGTTGCTTCAAAACACTACATAACATTGTACCTCGTGTGTTTTGGTTTACACGATGTGTGCCATTTATGCCATGTGTCCGTTAAATGAAATGCATTTATTAAAATAAGTTCAGTCTTATTTCAATATTTTTCTTGCCTACATGCACGCACATTAGCATGATTGGTTAAACATCTGCTGTATAAACACCAGGGATTACAACAGCCAAAGTATGAAGGTGAAATCAAATTAATTTTAATTGTAAACAACAAATATACATTTCAAAAAACATGGTGCAGAAACATTTTGTACAAGTGATAAAACAAGAGTGAACATCTGCTCCGGTTTATTTGGTCCAGCTGACTTTGGGGATGTCATAATGCTCTGTCAGGTTGTCCAGGTGACGGTTAAAATCCTGATAAACAACAACAACATAATGTCACAAACTGTTTCTATTAAGAAATATGCAATTTTGATATTGAGTTTTATGTAAATGTTGTCTTAAATCTATCTCTCTGAAAGGCCGAGTTAAGGAAGCTCTTACCTCGACTCTGTGTTTGTGGGTCTTTGATGCCTTGTTCAAAATCCGCTCCATTTGCTGTTAAAAAGAAATGGAGAGAAATTTAATGCCAAACAATTTACATTAGAACTTTAGTTTTACACATTCACAATCTTTAAATCTCTGCCAGAGGGGAGAAAAAAAAACCCCAAAACAGTTAACACAGACTACTGGATTTAGTGGGAGTAAGATTGATACACACACAGACAAAATAAGAATTTATTTCAGATTACATAACAAGTCAAGGTTTGGATGCTTCTTTGTTCACAAGTGGTCACCGCAGCAGGTAGCACCAAAGTTGATTTGGCAGATTTTCACACTGGATGCCATTCCCAAAGGGATTTAGGTCTCTTTTCAGAAATGAACTGGGAATTGGGAATGCTTATTAGGCAAATGTGCATTTCAAAACTACACTATTTTGGAATTATTGTACAGTGCTAAAACTGTTGGCTGTCTCTTAGAGGTAATATTATCAATACCTTAGTGAAACATCATTACCAGTTGATGTTTTTCCACTGGCAGACCTGATGCAGATTTGTTATTGAAACCCTGCTATAATTCATGATGCTGACAATAAAGATGGCTTTAGGAAATATTGCCCTAAACAACAAAAGAGATTCTGAGTTTAGATAATTTACTTCAGAGAATAATAGATTTGGCTGCAGTTTTCAAGCAGCTCAAGTTTGTTTTTCCAGTCCTTAAAGGGCCAAATTTGAACCCAACCTTACAAATAATTCACTTCTTCTAAACAGAAACTTCTACAATCTATTAATACTTATGTTAGCTTTGTTTCCCCTCATAATTCAATCACTTGAACGCTGGAGAAAAAGAACTCACCCGTTTCTCTTGCATCTTGTCAAAAGCAATCTGTGCCGGTGTCCTTTTGTCAAGATATACTTTCTTGGTTTTCACCTCCTCATCGCTTTGGCTGGTAACGACCTGCTCCATACGATGCTTGCTCTCCTTGTTCTTCTTCTTCTTCCTAAAAATAAGAGAAACACCATTATTATACCTTATAATTTATTACCAATTCTGTGCAAGAAAATGTACATGCAGGACAGTACTGTGCAAAGGTCTTGAGCCACTCCTCTTTTACAAAAATGTTTTGCCAGAAAAATTGGAAATAGCTGCAGCAATTTTTTTAATCGAATACACCAATGGTGACTACTAATGTCTAACTGTGTGTTTGGGATCAAAAATGAAACTTCTCTCCTGAATTCTTCCACATGTTAACAACAATTTGGACCAAAAATTTCACATTTCACTCCATAAGACCTGGTGCCACTGATTTTGTTCCACTTCTTGAGTAATTTGATATACTTCAGCCTTTTCCCCCTCATTTCTCTTCCTCGAGAATGGTTACTTGACAGCCTGAGTACAATTCTGATGAAGCTTCAGCAAACAGTAGATGGATCCACTGAAGGGCCATCTCTCAGGTTCTGTATCAGGTCTTTTTGGGATGTTCTTAAGGACAACACATTCAAATACTATTCATCCACTGTAGATGAATTTTCTTTTAGGCCTCCAACTTCTTCTTTTCTATTTGCCTTATTTTTAAGGTGAGATAAAAACCTTTGAAATGCCTTCATACCGCCTGGCCAACTATTTTATCAACACAACTAAAGAACAATTACAGCAAAATAAAAACAAAAACAAAGAAATTAGAGGTGCCACAAGACTTGCACAGTACTGCACATACCATTCAAGTTGGGGGTTTTTGAGTATGTTAGTCAAATACCACTAAAAACAGGTTTCATTTGAATACACAAAGATCCTGTAAGCACTTGAGGCCTGCACAGTCCCACAGCTACAGCAGTAATCATGTATTACGTAACACACATCTGTCTTTAGCGTTCAAAACCTTGTGTCTCCTGTTTTCTGAACAACTAACTATTCAGCTGGTTTTGTGTATTTTAGATTTTAACATTTATAAGGGATGTGTGTCCAGTGTCGTACAAAATAAAGTATATATTAGTCGGTCGTTTTGTTTTTGCCAAGCTAGCTAGCTAGCTAGCTAGCTACCCCTTCTGTTACAGGCCATAATTCTACTATCAACAGCTCTGAGGCCACGAAGCATGCGTTTAAATGTTATTTTCATATTTGTTGGCCTCTTCAAATATTACGTAATATTACTCATATCCACACACGTTCAGTGAACAAAGAGGTTTGTTTTCCTACTAGCAAAAGGGCTAACCATAGCCTGGAACGAACACAACCACATAATTTGAAGTATTCCATCGACTTAACAAAGATGTCTTTTTCGTACATTTTCTTCTAAGCGCTGATACTACTAAGACTTACTTTTTCCCAGCAGAAATATCTCCCACACCCTTTAATTTCAGGGCACTTTTCTGGACTGTAGCGTACTCAGACATGTTCGAGAAGCTGTTTGTCGTCTTCTTCTGCTTTCTGCTCTGACAGAGACGGATCAGTGCTGCCACCTATCGGGAGGTGAAAGGAAGCGACCCAAGTATGCATGAAAATGTCCTGCGGTGTTTCTTCCCAGCCACAGGGGGTGCTGTACTCTACTTCTAACGAGCCAAATACGAGGCAGAAAGCGGAAGTTGAGGCAAAACTGAATGTCAAGTTGTAGCATGGTGGAGTTCGTTTTTAAAATAAAGTAGAAATGTTACGGTACAGTTTATTACGGGTAGCACCGGTAGCGCAGTGCCTCACCGGAAGCAACACATCGTTTCTGTGCAGAGTGAGCATATTAAACAGAGGACAGACATGTGGATATGCTAAGAAAGTTGGTGAGTAAAGAGGACATCTGTGTGCCAAGCTTGTTTACTTTACTGTGTGCGATTATATAAAAACAAAAAGGGGAGATGTCGTTGCATGTGTCATTTAGATCACATTAAATTTAAAATGTGTGGATATTTTTTTTCTTCATTCCACATGAGTTTAATTTAACGCATGTGTCACAAATCTCTTCCTCCATCTTTTAGCGGCCAAGGGAAAGGGTAAAGGCATGATGAAAGAGGAACTGAAAGGTCCAGAGGTGTGTAAAGATCCTGTCAGACTCACATCTCACGCAGTAGGGGTCAACATCTTCAAACAAGGGGAAGACCCCAAGCTGAAGCCTCCTGAGGAGTACCCTGAATGGTGAGAGTGCACGTTATGTTAATTTTTTATTTAATGTTTTCCCTCGTTGTGTCATCATCGTACACACATCCAGTGGAGGTTTCACCCATTTACTGAACAAATAAATGGTGTGATGTTCTGGGAAAAGTAAGTCCACATCTGGCTCCAGAAACTGGTTGTGCCTCCTTAGCTTAAATTAATTAATAGGCATTTTTTAGAAGTTTACTGGTTTTCAAAAAAATTCCAAAACTGATATAAAACTTAGGAAACTTGTGATTCCTGAAACAAATCTGTCTGCAGGTGCGATTTCCATTTAGTCCAAATGTATAAACCTGCTCCTGAAATGACTGTGAACACCAGATCTTTATAAAGATCGAAACACAAAGTGGACGATCAGTGATTAAATTAAATGCAGAAACACAGCTGCAGCAGTGATCGAGAGGTACAGAATGAGACATCGTGCCACTAATCAGAGCCACGGTGCGATCCTCTGAAAATGATGGCAGTGAATGGGAAACTACTTACACTCTTACACTTTTATTCAGTATCTCTGAATAAAAGACATGCATTGCTTTATCAAGTAAAATATGAGTTCTTCTTGCAGCTCACAGACTGTAATAAGAATACATTTGTTCAGCAGTTATACCACAGTACATTTATTCTTAATAGTGAAGCACAGAGTTGGGACTATGACTATATGTCTTTATTGTATTTCTTTTTTTCTCTAGGGAACTTTTTCTAAGTTTTTCTTTGGACATTGGCTGTCCTAACTATTAAATGCTTAATTTGTTCCCATGTCTTTAGCTGAATCTACAAAAAATGCCAAAGATAACGTGCTGAGAGGCATAAAATAGTATTTTTGGACCAACATTGTGATTTCCAAAGAGCTATTAGCTAAACTAGCTGGACCAGCTGAACATCTATAGCATATTTCAACACGCTGTGCACTGTGTCCATGAAAATATATGAAGACACTCGACAAGTGGTCAGTGTGTGTTCACAGCCATTTGTAAACTATGGGTTAGCAGCTAGCTAACGCGGTGTCCGAGCAGCCAAACTTCCGCTGCAGATGAGACCTTTTATTGCTTGCAATGCAATAAAAGTATATCTGGATTGAAAAAATGCAGTCATGGATTGTCCTCTCTAGAGCCCATAACTCAAAATTATTAAAACGGTGTGGGATCATCTTGACAGAGAATGCAACAAAAGCCAGCCAAGATCCAAAGAAGAGCTTTGAATGTCCTTCAAGAAGCCCGGAGAACTATTCCTGAAATTCCTGAAGACCGTTTAAAGAAATCTAGAGAAAATAAGCCTGTATTTTTAATATAGATAATATAAAATGCATTTCTACTCATATGTCACCTCAAGCTGCTTTAAACTAAAAGATAAAGGCCTTTCAAGGTCTTTATTACAGAGGAAACCTCAACAATCAGACGATACCGTATGAACAGCACTTGGCGAGAGCAGGAAGGAAGAACTCCCTTTAAACAGGACGAAACCAGTAGAGCCAGGTTTGAGGAGAGGCAGCCATCTAACTGTGACCAGCTAGAGAATGAAGGAAAAGAGAAGAGGGGAAAAAGGAGAGCTTAGCGAGATCAAGGGCAAAACGTAAAATGTGTGCAGTGTTTTTCAAAATTTGAGCTTGGTGGATGTTTCGTTTTACAGCAAAAAGTCTGCAATCGGCCAGAACTTGTTAGGAGAAGCTAGCAGTTGTGTGAATCTGTGCCATTTGTAGGTAATTTTCTTTAATTTTGAATTTACTTTTACATCTATTTTTAAACTCAAAGGCCTCCACAGCCTTTCTACCTGCAGTGATTATGAATGCTGGCCATTTCCAAAATATGAGTGCTTTTGGTTTTTATATTAGTTGATATTGTATCATAGACATATCGACTCACTGCTTAAGTAATCGGGGAACTTATTTGTGAGTTGATGTTATTACTTATTTGTACTTATTTGTGAGTTGTTGTTGTAGTTGTGATATTTCACTTCTTTTTTTTTTTTTTCTTTTCTTTCACTCAGGTTGTTCCAGTTAAACCTGGGAGCGGCCAAAAAGCTGAACGAGCTCGAGTCGGACTCTTGGGAGTATTGGAAACGTCTGAGGAAGGAAAACATTTGGCGTTTCAACAGACTACATAAAGGGAAGAAGTTTTAGGGTTTCACTGGACTTACTGAGGGCAACAGCAGTGTTTTACACCCTGGACTGAATTACCATGACAGAAACGGACTTCTGGATCAGTCTATCCCACCTGACAGCTGAGAGACTTTTGTCTCTTCATCGCTGGTTCTGTTTGATGCAAATGTTCTCTTGTGTTAAACAAAGGTGGTGATATAACAGCGTGAACTGCAAAGGAGTCCTTCAAGAAGGCAAAAACTGAACATCATATGAACCTAATAAAGTTATTGTCTCACTTCAGACAAACTCTTCATTAAATCAAATTTGACCAGTTTTCATGAAGTCGTAGTAACAATTTTCAACATATCTGTTGCATACTAGAACGCTCTGGAGTAGTTACTTTGTGGCAAAAAGTAGAAAAAAAGGATTTCATTGTGTTTAACTTGGATTAAATCATTTGAACATGTGTTTATGGTGTTTTGTTTTCTTTTTGCAAATCACTTTGCCTGTTTGTGAATGTGCAGACTGTCTATAAGTAAAAATGAAATTATATTCAAAAGTTGAGTTTGTCCCATTGCTTTAATTGATATTAGGTATCCAGATGTGGCACCACTTTAGGTTGTAATGTAGAGCTGTGTTCACGGTTGGTAAGTCGGTGCTTTTCAGCCCAACCCCAAGTCACAGGAAAAGCTTTGGGTCGCAGTTTGTAATAGTTATTGCGCTGATCTTTAAATACTAGCTACAGTGGTGGTGTTGCCATAAAAAACGCTTCATGCAAATGACTGCGTAGCAGGGGTTGCAGAAACGAGGAACCGAAATGAGAAGCGACTCATCTGGGGAACAAATCATGCAAGATTGGAAGAGTGATTGTATCAGGATGCATCATCTATCTCGTTAATGTAAAAGTAACTCTGTTCCTCTTTCTATGTATTTGAGATTTGAACACCGGTTTGTTGTAAATCTGGTAAGTCGAGCGCTTATTTAACGGCTTAAAATCCCCCCCAAAAAACTAAGGTTTTAGTAGCGCTAAATAGCGGAAGCGGCACTTGGCGCAGCTATTAATGGACGTCTTGATAGT